TTCTTGGTATTTTTTTCTTGTGCACACTTGTTTCACTACTACTTGAATTGAACTGTCAGAATATACTTCCACTAATTTTATTTTCGTTATTATGCCATAATTTTTTACCGTTTTATCATCTTTAATCACCATTTTTTTTTGTAACAATTATAACTCTAAATTCCCACATTTTATATAGGTAATGGGAAAGACTATGGAAAGTTGTCTGGACGTATAATTGATTCAGACATGCACGATGTTGGGCGTTTCCTCAATCGGATCCTAGGACTGCCACCTGATATTCAAAATAGGTTTCTATTTTGTTGATTGAGAAATGATCGCTTGTTGCAGTCAGAAATAAATTCAATCCACTAAACTGCTTTTCACTGCAGGCTGTTTGATTTGTTCGTCAGTATCCTAGATCTTCTTGTTCAGAATGCACGCATTGAAGGGAATCTTGATTCTGGGATTGTTGATATGAAAGCGAACATTATAGAATTACAAGGAACTCCCAAGGTATACTTTCTTGTTGTTCCTTTACTGGCTTTACTCAACCAGTGATGTTGACTTTTATCTTACAGACTGTTCACATTGATCAAATGTCTGGGGCATCAACTGTTCTGTTTACTTTTACTCTGGACCGTGGAATCACATGGGAGGTGTTTTTCTTCTCTCTTCTGTTTTCTTTATGCATGCATGTTTTAACTCTGAATGGTGAATGCTAGATTACATCTTGATAAATAACTGTAAAATTTGTAAATGTTCATTAATGCTAGTCTGCAAGTACCATGCTCGAGGAGAAGCAAAAGGATGGGCTCAGTTCTTTGAATGATGGATTCTATGAATCTAAGAGGGAGTGGTTAGGAAGACGTCACTTTATTTTAGCATTTGAAAGGTATTGCTAGATTTGACTGCACCTCTATGTGTATCATTTGTGAATTGTAAAGTTTTTATTATGTGAATCGTAAATTTTTAATACACAAATCAGTTGATTCCCTTGAAAATATTACTCTTTGATTAACGTAAGTGTGAAGCCAAAGAGGGCAAGTGAATCAAAACTCCAGTAGTCCACTGAGGTTCAAGGAAATCAACTCTAGCCTGAGTTTCTGGATGTTTGACCACTGTAGCTTGGAGAGGAACTGATTTTCAATAAAGTATTTCCAATTTAGCTACCAGATTTCTTCACTGTAAAAAAGATAGGAAAAGAGGTGAGAAATGTAAATGAAGGATTTGACTGGAGGCATTAAGACAAGTCCATAGTGGTAATTTTGCCACAAAATGAATACCAACTTCTCTGATCTCCATTTCACAGTGCTAGGATACATGTGTTTTAGAAACTTCTGCTGCTATTTTGTTGACTAGAGGCATTAATACAAGTCAATAGTGGTAATTTTGCCTCAAAATGAATATCAACTTCTCTGATCTCCATTTCACAATGCTAGGATACAAGTGTTTTAGAAACTTCTGGTGCTATTAATATTAGGTGCTTTGCTATTTTATTGTTCTTGTATTCATCCTTTCAGTGTCTTTGTTTATTTCATTGCTTCAGCTCTGCTTCTGGAATGTTTAAGATTGTCAGACCTGCTGTTGGGGAGTCGGTAAGGTATCAAATATCACCAGGCTTAGTCAAAGCTTATATTGAATCTATTGTGTTCACTAACCCCTTCTTTCTTTCTCCAGGGAAATGCCTCTGGCAGAGTTGAAAAACAAATATAGAAAATTGCTGTCGTTAGAGAAAGCTTGTAGTGGCTGGGAAGATGAATATGAAGTTTCATCTAAACAGGTACAAAAACATGTTGAATATATGTTGAGATGATAAATGCTGTTAGCATTGGTATTTTGCAATATCAAATATAGCATAACTGCAATGCTAACATGATAGATTGACCGGTGATGAAAATTAATTGCATTTTATGTTGACTTTTCTTTGTGAACAACCATTTTAGGACATGGAAAGATGAGTTTTGTTCTTTGATGTGGATTTCTCTTCATCTTGTGTGTTCAAATTGTTAATGAATTGGATGCCAGCTTCGACCTTCCAACTTCCATTTCAGCAGTCAGAGACACGTCTTGTGTGAATATTCAAATTAATATCTTCCTCGCAAACTTTCCAGTTTGTAATGTGTTCCTACTTAAATGGGGAATTATATACTGGAGTTAATTGATAATACCATGTGGAAAGTTTAGGACTCTGAAACAAGGGAAGTGACTTGCAGAGAATTGGGTGGAATATTTTAGCTTTGATAGATTAATGTTATTGATACTCCTTGCTGATAGTATCCCACTGTCCCCTTGTAATGTAGTCAAACAAAATCATGCCTGAGTGAAATGTGCATGTCTTGATACTGTGTGACTTCTTGAATCCCACTTTTGCTGTGATGCATTCATAATCGTATTGATCAATCTGGAATCTAAATAATTTTCTTCCTTAACTGACTATTTCCTCCATGTACACTTGGTGCATAATTTTTTTTGCTAATTCTTCAGTTACCCTGCAGTTCTTACCTTAGCTTACTGTTAATTTTTCCTGCAGTGCATGCATGGCCCCAACTGTAAGCTTGGAAACTTTTGTACAGTTGGCAGAAGACAGCAGGAAGTAAATGTTTTGGGTGGTCTTATTCTTCCTGTTTGGGGCACTATCGAGAAAGCCCTTTCTAAGCAGGTAATGCAGGGCTTCTTAATGATTTCTAATTCCAATGAACATGATGTTTAGTAAATGCTACCTTGCTCATTTTTCAATTTTGTCCTTTTTGCTATAGACCACGCTTGAGCCAGGAGTGTCAGTTTTACATACATCGATCCACTTCGAGATTTTTGACTTTGTGGCACTTTCACTGAAATCTAATTTTTTTTACTGCATTCTAACAGTTATGAAGTTGCTATTTTATTCCATGAGTTTCTTTCTGTGGGCAACACTTTTGAATTTGCAAGAGGGTCGTTTATTATGTAGTGCCAAAATTGCTTATGTTCAAGTTGGTTGCTCTCTTGATGGATCTAGGTTTGATCAATAATTTGGAAAATGCTCTATTAAGTCTGATCTACTTGTCTGGAGGAGAGATATACATGAGGAATGAGGTGGAAAGATAGGTTAATTTCTTAATTGATTCCTAGCTTGGGTCAGTTTTCTTTCTTCTTCCTTTGTTTTTTGGATAATTATGAAAAGCAGCTGTTGGTTATGGAGTGGATCTTTTTTAGGTATTAGAAATATATGCATGCTGACTCAACTGAGCAATGTATCGCATTGGTGACACAAGTTCTAGAATATCAAGTGGAAGGAACCATAAACAAAGACACTGAAGTGTGCTATGATTTCCATGCATGGTCAAGCCCTTTATATTACTGCCTTGTACTTAAAATTTTCTTTTTAAAATAAAATGGAGAATTTATGAGAATTGATTTGTTTTTATGGGACTTCGACCAAATCATTTATTGTCAGGATTTTCTTACCTTGTCCCTGATTGTATTCCACCAGAAGAAACCAAACATTCAGTTTGTTTCCTTTTAGCATTGCCTGTTAATACAAAGGGGTATTTTTATATAGTGTTCAAAGCATGTCACTGCCATTAATACTTGCAGCAAAGAAACGTTTTATTAAAGAATCAGCTCATGGAATGAACTATCAATCTGATGTAATTGCCATTGAGATTAATTGAAACCTCAAGTAATATTCTCTTCAGGCTCGTCAAAGCCAAAAGCGACTCCGTGTTGTGCGTTTAGAAACTACCACAGATAACAAGCGAATTGTTGGGCTCCTTGTCCCAAATGCGGCTGTGGAATCTGTACTTCAAGGTCTCTCTATCTCCCTACCTTCTCTCACATGCATAGTCTTATCCTGCCTTTACACACATGCACGAGTTTTGTTATCGAAGCTTGCTACAATTAGTTGCCTCACCTCTTCCTCTCTCTCTCTCTCTCTTGATGTGTGTCTGTGTGTGAGCGCGTGTATAAGCTTGGATATAAATCTGTTTTATTGTAATTTACATGGATCTAATTCTAGTGTGATGTCGTCTGGGTTGCAGATTTAGCATGGGTCCAAGATATTGATGATTGAGATGGTGCAGTCTTTTGTTCCAAGGAGCGTGTGAGCAATACAGGAAGTTAGAATGTTGCTTTGGAGACTTGAGAATGTGATTCAAGTCTGAAGATACAAGCATAAACCTCATAGTGAAAAAATTAGAAAGTCATTCCCTGCACCATGCAAGGAAATTGTGCAGGCTCATTCATACTGATTTTTTGTCTTTTGCTTTTTTGCTCCATTTTTTGGCTCATAATTTTGTATATCTCTTACAGTATCGCAGAAGGCAGTAAGTTATAGGTTCCAGGTTGTACGAGTCGTAGTTGTACTCGAACTAATTTGTGTAAATCTCTATAATCATCATTCTATTGCTGATAAAGAAATCCTTCTGTGTTCATGTTGATATTATCCTCAATCATGGCGCTTTCTAATTGGATTGCCAACATCGTTCCGAGGAGCACCGCAATAACATTCTCTAATTGGACTACCTTCTGTTGCTAACTAGGCTGGATAGGTTTTAGCACCAGTGTTGTGTTTAATGAATAGAGGGACACAAATCAGAATATGAATTTCCGGCATCGTTGGATGTGAGGGGCTCCTTGTGGTGCAACTACGTTCCCATTAATTAGTTATTATGGAAAGGAGGATTTCTGGATAAATTAGAAGGGGGTCATCTTCATGCGAGTGCGGCCGTGATGTGGTGGGTTCCTCTTCTCCATCTGCAAAGCACAGGCAAGAGCTTAATTATGATCTTTTTATCTCTTAAGGCCAACCTGTAACTACATTCTAGGCATGTTATACGTTCAGTCGATTTTACCAAAACATACATGTGACGTTTGTGAATGCACTAATGCATCAATTTCTGTCTTTTAATTTGATTTGCTTGCTTTCTCTTTTCAAAGTTTAATGTAAGACTTCTCACCTAAATTCATTTTAACAGCCGTTGATTAAAATAAGGTTCATTTTGGATAACATGTTAGGAAAAGAAAGGGTTAACTCGGCAGTGTGGTCTATGTGAATTGTACCAGCCTGCATCACGGTTCAGGCGCCATAAAACTTGAATATTACCATTTTTGGTCCAAGGTTTTGTAGTTCAGACGGACAACACAAAAAATCAGCACAGTCCACTCAAAAAACACGCACACGCTCACGCACATAAAATTTATTTATCTCTTAGTACTGGAGAAACCATTCAGGTCAGCACACAAATGGAGCTTCAACATGATGGTCGCTGCAGTAGAGGCCAGGTCGCTGAGTGAAACCCTGCTTCTTCAGAATCTTCCTAGCTCTCAAAACAAGCTCCTGGTTAGAAATGTCACCATCCGCCTCTCCAAGTATAGTCTGGATGGCATTGCTAAGAGCTCCATATGCTTCGGCTGAATTTCCTCCTGGACTGGCATCGGCAGAAGTTTGGTCAGTTTGGCAGCCACTGATCAAAATCCCACCATCTGGTAGTGCACGCTTAGTTGCTCCAGCATAAACTTCTTGCTTGCTACCCACCTCAGTCTCGACAGCAGCCTGTGCATACCCCTCGTTATGCTCCAGTTTTTGTTTGAGAAATTCCTGGGCAAGATTCCCAACCATTCCAAAGAGTCCACCACCTCCACTTTCCCCATCACCAAGTTGGAGTTTATCCATGATAACCTTCATGAACTTCTTCACCTTAGGGCTTGCATCTTCTCCAAAGACATCAAAAAGGGCTGGCCTCAGCTTCCCAACATCAATGTCATCTTTACCAGTCTTTTGCTTGAGTATTTCTATGAGAGTTGAGAGAGGCAGAGATCTACTTTTCACGTACTCTCGCTCACCATAGTCTCCTTCAACTGCTCTGTCATCAAAATCTTCCTCCTTGACACGCCGGCTGGGGTGCAACCCAGAAGGAATGTGAACTCCACGAGATTCAAATGCATCTTTCACAGTCTGTTTCAAGAAACTTTTAAATCCAAACCCAGAAGACCCCTCCTCCTCTTTCTCCTCCTCCTCCTCTTGACGCCTTGTGCTCTCCCCTATCTGCTCTTTAGTCTCATCAATGAGGCCACCACTATGGCATGAATCAGAAACAACTGTTATGCGACAACCTTCTGGGACCTGATCCACAAAATCTCTGAAATCATCATCTGTTCACAAATATCCAAGTTCGAAGTTAGAATGGAATTTGCTTAAGCAACATTTATGACAAATCATTCTAGGAACTACGCAGTCAAGGGAAACAAATAATTCCATAAAATCATTTCCATTTCCAAACAAGTTGAGTTTTTATCAATTAGATTAATAACAAAGGATACATGAGAATGATAAAAACAAAATGAATGATAAAAACCACTTGGCTCTGATGTTATAATTATTTGCTTGAATAATTCATGGTTCATGCTCTTCATCCATCAGCAATACTTTTTGCCAATGAATTGATTCTCTTTGAATAAATGCATGGACCATCAAGCAGGCTCCAAACTATTTCAGAGCGCAAAACTGGATTGTGTCCTATAAATACCCTGGCATGGGAACTTGTAAAGTGATGTGAGATCATCGTGCCAAGAAACAATAAAATAAACCTGTATTTATCAAAAACCTCATGATTAAAGATCCAACAATTTGTTTTTGCAATAACAAAGACTCTGCATCTCTCTTGTTAGAATAAAGAGACAACACAAATTATCTCTTCAACAATCCTAATAGCTTTGAACAATCAATAACAGCTCCACCACAACAGATTAAATTATTGAAAATGCAAAGGTCCAGGAGAGTTAACAAATCAAGATTCAAAATTGACAGTCTCAAGCACAGAGATCGAGAGTCAAGACATTCCACTGACAAATAAAAAAAAACCCAAAAACAAAACTAATGGTATTTTCTTAGAAAACCACATACAGTAGCGCGGCTCCTTAGAATCAATTTCCCAGGGATCCAACCAAACAAAGAATAAAGGTGGTTTTTCCCCCTTCAAATTTCCTATCCACAAAAGATCTAAAACAATCCACCATGATCGCAATTAAAAAAAGAGAGAGAGAACCCCAGAAACAAATAAGATCAATAAAAAACTGTTGTCGATCAGATTACTGAAAGAAACTAAATCGGATCACATCAATCAAAACCAATCTTGAGAGAGAGAGAGAGGAACCACAGAAGACAAGAGAAGATAAAGACATTACCAGTGATAAGATTCATATCACAAGGGACAATGCACTCATCGTAACCAGTATCATCATCCTCTCCAGTTTCAGCAGGCAACCTTGTCCCATGTCCGCTATAGTGGACAAACAACAAGTCTCCAGGCTCGGCAGAGCGAACCAGATCCTTCAGCGCCTGGCGCACGTTTCTCCCAGTTGGTTGGGTGTAAGAATCATCCGTGTCTATCAAGATAGTTATGTTATCTTCAGAAAAACCATAACGATCAACAAGACAACGGTACATCCTCTTGACATCATTTATACAGCCTTTGAGCTCAGCTTTTGTTCCTGGGTAGTTGCAGCCTATCAACAATGCCTTCTTTGTCATGGTTCTGTTGCTGGCAACGATCAATTCAGTCAGTCTCGATTGGATTTGGGATCTTCTGATCCTTGGAAAGTATTTTCTTTTCTTTTAAATTCTGACTTTTTGGACTGTTAGAAAAGTGGGACTGTCAAAGAAATGGAAATGCTGAGTTGTCAGGAGGATTTATTTATTTATTTTAGAGAAAAGGCATTAATTTAATATTAATAGTTCACTTCACTATTGGCAAACAGTACAAAAAATGGATTAATATGATTTCTCATCATAAATAAGGAAAACAACCATAAATTTCTTTGTTTTTTTTTCATCAGATCAAATCTGATTGACCTTCAACAGTAAAGGAATTAAGTCCAGTATATAATATTCGCTGAGTAAATAGTATTCAAAAATTTTGAATAAAAAAATTGAAGGTCGGTCTCGAATAATTGATGTCGTCTATTGATATATAATTCGACTCTATTATGTATGGAGTGCAAAGAAGGAGCACAAATTAAGCCAAAAAAGGTTCTAAAAAACAGAAGAAGAAAAGCTAAAAATCCCGTTTTTAAAAAAAAATTAATTTTAATTTTACTAAAAATTAATTTTTTAATATATTTTAGATCGTTTACTTGAATTGATGTTAAAAATAATTTTTTAAAAATAAAAATTTATTTTAATATATTAAAAAAACACATTAAAAAATAATCACAATTATATTCTTATACAAAAAAGATAGGCACCTAAAACAATAACAATTATTATTATTTATTTTTTAAAATATATTAAATAATATTTTTTATTTTAAAAAATTATTTTTAAATCAATATATCAAAATAATTTTAAAATATAAATTTTTTTATATATAAGATACATGAAACACAATTACAAACAACACAATTTTTTAAAAAAAGAATTAATCATCTTCCCTTGTAAATAAAATCCAACCACTGTGCTTGTAATTTTATCTTCCAGCCAATAGAAGGAAAAATTCTACATTTCCATATATATATATATAATAATAATAATAATAATAATAATAATAATTCATAGAAAAAAAATAGAGCGAAAGTTTTTATTTTGACATCTATATAGATCAAGTGTATAAAAAATCAATTATTTGTTAATTACATGTTATATCATATATAAAAATTATAAAATGAAATAAGTATTTGTGTTTTTTGTTAATATAAAGAATAAATAAAATATTTGAGAAGCTTTGAGGAGATAAAAAAAATTAGTTTGACTGAAAAATGTAGATACAGATTTTTTATTATTTTTATTTAAACCGATTAAAAATTTGTATTGTAAGTTTTGATTTAAGAGATGTATTTAATATTTTTATTATTTAAAAGTAAAATAAGAAAAAAGACAAGGAAATCGTATTGCCTTGTAATTTATTTAAAAGTTTAAGGTAATGCATCAGTTGAATTACGTGTCATTTTACATTATTATTATTTTTTCTATCAAACTCTTTACTAATAAAGAATCACGTGATACAATTTTGTAACATTTTCCTGAATGGAATACGCATCAAGAATGTAGAATATATTATTATTCATATAAATCCACAATATGTTTTGTTTTTCTACCATAATATTTATTTTCATGAATAAGCATGTTTTGATTTAATAAGTGCAATATAAAATATATTTTGAGGTAATACAAAAATAATTTAGATCGTTAATATTTTAATATAAATCTTTTAAAATCTGGATCAATAAGCATCATTCACATATATCTGATTAGAATTTTTTATTTAAAAGCAACAAAGAAATAAATATAAAGATAATTACATTAATTAGTATCATATTTTAATAATATCATTATAAAAATATTAATAAAATAAATAAATATTTATTTATAATAAATACTACATTACGAGAGCTTTGCTAAATAATATAGTTAAAAAAAGTTTAAGAAATCATACAATAACATATAGATATATAACTTTGTAATTGTTGTGATTTTAACTTTATTCTAGAATAAATTATAAATGATTTAATTCGAGAATCTTCTATTATTGAACACCCATCCATCGGGTGGGCCTTGACCTTAAAAACTTTGACAAGTCAGTTAGTGGGTGTCATGAAGCCATATATTTTTTAGTTTGTCTGTAGAGTAATAAAGGTTGTATTTTTTTCAGATTTTTTTATTATAATATATATTTAACAGTAATAAAGGTTGTATTTTTTTCAGATTGTTTTTATTATAATATATATTTACATAAATTATTATTATTATTATTATTATCATCATTATTTTATATATTAGTATATTAAAACAATTTAAAAATATAAAAAATTAACTTGAAATAAAAATAAATAAATTTTTTTCACAAATATAATAATTAGAACGCAATACTGATTTAAAATGTCAACAATCTCACATTATTGGTATGCGTATTCAAACCAAGTCTTTCTTGCATTTAAGAGTTTGTGTTGAATAATATCTCTGATTAAGAATAGACATTTGGTGATCCATCCACTATCTTCTATTTACAGAGAGGTCAAATAATGTCCAAAATTATAGAAAAATTCAAGCCTGCATCATTTATTCATTAAAAAACCTTTTTTTAATCTTGAAATACCAAAGTTAACAATGGAGTGGTTGGAATCATAGAAGGATGATGGAGTGAAGTTGCTGTACGATGACAAGGGAGTTCTTGTGAGTTGAGTCCCCTTTTAACGTGCACTCGAGCTTTATCAGCCATTTATCAGTTATTACAGTGAATCCCTGTTTTCCAGCTAACTCCGAACTCCCAGGGGATCAAAACATCAGTGGGGAGGAAGGAGCGTGGCATCTATTGTAACTTGCAGTAATTATTGATCGAAATATAATTAAGAGGATTATCGATCATCATTTACACTACTACTTCAAGATGCGAGACAAACAAGGCCGAGTATCAGTTTATTTAAATAAAACCAGAATCATTAATTGTCAAGAAATAAGAACAAAATGTCGTGGAAAAACCGCAATGGAATGGACATCCATCAAGGGTTGTAACTGCGCCGAGCTGGACAGACATTGATCCGTCGCAGATTTACTTAACCGCGTCGTGGTCGCTTGGCCTTTTTGCTAGGTGCGGGATTAACATAATTACAGTCCAGTCTGATTTCGCTTTCATTCGGGGCAGTATAGACAAGAACGTTTCCAAGATTCACCATTGACGCTGCAAACTGATTAAAGAAAAGGTCAGGCTGCTGATCTGTGAATGCTGAAACGAATGGCGCAGTTCTTGGATCCGAGTAGAGTTCTTGATCGGTTGACAACAATCCCTTTTTCTTGCCAAGGTTGTTGTAGTACTTTACGTCAAAAGTCTTTGGTGTTGTTATATCTAGATTGACCAAGTTAGAACTCCATTTGCAACTTCTTGTCAAGTTCCTCAAGTATTTTCTGTCAAGGGTAGGATCAGGCCTGCCAGTTCCCTTATAGTTAGCGAGTCTGTGCATGAATGAATAGCAACTGCTCCTTCCAATTGTGTGTGAACCTGAGAGAACAACCAAATCAAGAATGCTCAATCCTCTTTCCTGGAAGAAATCAATCAGAGCTGTGACATTTTCGCGGCCCTGAGGAACAAGGTCAGCCTCTTTGGCAATGGAAGTTTTTCCATCTTTACGCCCAAATGGGACTTCCCAGAATGGACCTCCAAGCAGAAGAGTGGCATCTCTAGCCGCAGCTGTGAGAATGTCCGCGCATGAGACAGTTTTTGGACATTTCCTCTCAAGCTCTGCTTTAATTTCATTAATCACTTGGAAACCTCTCAGAGTCTTGCTAGCATAAGCTCTCCTTTCACTATTTCGATGGTTCAACAAGATCGAAGCATCACATCCCTGCATTGCATGTTGTCAATATTTTTAGCCTCATAATACTTATACGAGACTAGCAATTCTATCATTAATAAAATCAATTAAAAGAAAAGGAAAAAACCAATTAATGACCACCATTTGGTGCATAGAAGATGCCAAAACCTGAGACCCTTTGTCAGTTTGAGAATACTAGCTAGTGTAATGGTCGTGAAGGATATATATTAGAGGTGCAAGATTTTTGGCCATCAATTAGTGCTTACCCTAATAGCGCAATCATGGAAGTGCAAGCGAATGATGCTAGCTGCCAATGTGTAATCCTTTAGAAACCAAGCTTTCATTTTTCGGTGAATTATTTCTTCAGCAGCAGGGCAAGTTTTATGATAGTAGCTAAGAGACAGGAAATCTTGAGGAGACAAGATCGACGGTGCTCCTAGAGGCTTAACTAAATCTTTGACAGGGTTCAGTGGCAATATGGCTGACACCATGTACAGCTCAAACTGAACAAGGAGGAGAAAGGTGCAAAACCACCACTTCATGTTGCTTTTTTGATCTCTTGTCAGCACTGGCATGTCACACTGACAAAAACTGTTCGAGTATTTACTGATTGTGTTTTCCGCCGTTTTATACTTGCTTCATCGTGGATTTTTACGTGTTGTAAATAGAGAAATACGTGAGGAGCACTCTCTAATTCACAATTTTTGTAACTTGCAAACATGTAATCCAAGTGGGGGCTCTCAGGACAGCGATACACGCTATATTCCAGAGTAGACTATTAAGGTCACTTGGACACTCGACAGCCCAGAAGAAATACTGCTGTAAAGAAATAAATATGGAATTGGGAACTGCAGGATGATCGTTCAGCTACAACTCCTTAATTTAAAAAATAAAATCAACTGTTTCAATATATTTCGTTGTGATTTAGGGAGGAAAATAAAAAGAAACGGACTTGGTTTAGATCTAGAACGAGTACAATTATTACGAGGGCCTTGAATTCAAAACATAAAGTCCATCGACAGGCCATTAGATAACCAATTAATTAACTATTGATCTAATAACAAATAGCTCAGGATTAACGCATAGAGCGCCAACCCTTCAACTCTATAGATATTAATAAAGTCTACATCGGCCGTAATATTTAAAAAAATTCATTATTATGCCGCATCTAAACTTTTTTTTTTTAGTCACATTTTTTTTTAAAAAAAATCCAATAAAAATAGCGCAGAGAACTCGAGATCTAATATTGGACATACATGGCATGGCCCTGATTTTAGGGGGGGCGTTGACCTTGCTGGGTCAAGTCATGCGAATGCCACTCGGCAAATTTGGGCCCTTAATAAAGACATTCTATCCAGCTCAGAAAGAAGTACCGGACACGTCCAGGTTTCGAGCGTTCGATCACCATCAAAATGAAGGAAATTTTGTGACACATTCAAAAAGAAAAAACTTCAAGTTTTTTTTCGAATGATAGATATTTACAAAATTAATTGACCTTCTGATTCAGCTTAAACTTTTTACAAGAACAAAACAAGGCACAACATGTTTACATTCACATTCTCAATCACACGACAGCACAAAATCTTGAATCAAGCCAAAAAAAACCCAAACCATCCCGGAAGAAATTAGACCACGCAGCTACCCACAACAAACACAAGATTTAAGCCTTGCAGCAAACAAAACGACCTAATCCCCTGGAAACATGTTTTTCACCATCATCTCCAGAGATTTCTACGGCCTTCTTTTTAGGCTTCGTTTTCAGTTCATCTTTAGGCACTGTCACCACAAGAACCCCATCATGCATTGACGCCTTAATCTCATCAAGTCTAGCATTTTCGGGCAATCGAAACCTCCTTGAAAACCCACCACGTGACCTCTCTTTGCAGTGCCACTTCTCTCCTTTCTCCTCAGCTTCTTCTTTTCTCTCTGCAGTACTTATTTGAAGCACTGTCCCCTCATGAACTTCAATCTTCACGTCCTCTTTTGTAAGGCCAGGAAGATCGATCTCGAATACATGGGCATGAGGAGTTTCCTTCCAGTCCATTTGGGTCTCTGAGTTTTCGATCAAGAAACCCCGAAATGGATCAAACAAGCTGTTTTGGTTCAAGAGAGAATGAAGGAGAGACATTTTCTGGTTTTTTTTTTTATATATATATATATATATTTGGCTGTGCTGGAAAGATTTTTTGGCTTAGGAATGTTAGAACGAAGAGATGGCTCAAGACTTCAGTTGTTTTGTTATGCTTATTTGTTTAGGAATTGCTATTGAAGGTATTTATAGTGGATCATATGGCAGAGACTGGCGAGTTCTTGAAGTTTCTGGTGATAGATTTTGCAAATTCTAAGGATTGACTCCCAAGGATCATACTCCATTTGGTAGTCAACACAAGGGAAGTTTCTGGGGGAACCTAGAAATGGACATAATAAAAGTTTCGATGTCAAACATGTTGTTTAGCAGTGCAATTAATTAATAAGAGACATGGAATTTTATTAGAAGATTGTAGAACATACCAGCTAGAAAACCATGATTTGACAATGCGAGGATAATTACGTGTTTGCTTGCTGTTTTAAAAAAAAATTTGAAAAAATTTAAATTTATTTTAAATTAATATATTTTTAATGTTTTTAAATTATTTTAATATATTAATTTTAAAAATAATTTTTAAAAAATAAAAAATATTATTGATATATTTTTAAATATAAAAAATATTTTAAAAATAACTATAATACACTTTTAAAAATAAAATAATCAAATGATAACAGAAAAAGTTTCCAAAAATATCAATCGCTAAAAGCGTGAATATTGGAAAGAGTGAATATTCAATGAGACG